CAAATTGTCATGCTGGAGGTGTGAGGGTGCGAGCTAGAGGTAAGTCATAAGGTAAAGGGAAAAACAGAAGTCTGTTTTCCACAGATGTTTTTTAAACTGCCTGTGAACATTTGCTACTTCTGCTGGTTGGCCTTCTCTCCCCTGCTGTGCTGAATCAAAGCTTCATAAAGTCCCTGCTTTCTCAGAATGCAGAAGGAACACTTGTGACAGGCAGAAAATATTACTGCTGGCACTGGATTGCCAGTTCATCAGGGGAGATCCACGCAACCAAAACTACTGCACAATACAAATGCAATTATGTTGTCCATCCCCTGGAAAAAAAAAAATCTGCATTTAGCACTTGAGATCAGCAATAATTGGACACAAAGCCTGGGGGAAGACATGAAAAATGGGAATACAGAAAAGAAAGAAGATGTGACAGAGAAAGCAAACAACACATTATTGAGGAAAGAAATGTGTCTGGACAGTAGTCCAATACACAAGATTTGCATAACACACAAAACCAGAACAGAAATAAAGTAGAACAAAACCATTCTGTATTTTGGCTTTTCAACGAATTCTGAAGTACTCCAAACCTTTGCTCTTCACAGGAAGCTGTGATAGGACAACGGTTGAATTCCAGTTGGATACCCAGAACATCAGTTTACTTAATAAAAAAATGCAAGCTTGAGAATTATGAAACATCCCCTTGAAATGTTTCATCAGGCAGATGGAATAAGAAGCACCCTCCTACTTTAAGAGATCACTTGTCTTTTATCTCTCTCACAACTTTGCTAAGTTAAGGCTTGTGCTTATATTTCTTATTGAATGATATCACTACCAACTACTCATTAGGAAACAAAAAAATGCACGTTTCAGAATAACTGGAAACCTTTTCTAGTTCTGTCATGATTTCAGATTGATCTATATTGCTACATTTCTGTTTTAAGTTTATGACATTCACAGATTAATGAAATCACTAAGTTTATGGCTTGGGTGTGATTAGAATAGAGTGCAAAATCTTGACCATTTATAAAAAAATGCAGCAAGCATAAGCTGGATTTCACAACCAGGCAATGGTGAAAATCTGCTAAGGAAAATAAGGCAGGCAATACTGACACTTGTGGTCATTTCTAGATTGCTATTTTTCATTCAGTTACAAACATGCTTATGATAGTTGAGGAAAATGTTGGGATCACAAAGTAGCCAAGCAAATTACAAATACTCTATGAATCTGTCCTTTCCACTCTAAATTACTTATTGGAGAATTATGCTTTTTGAAGCAAATAAAAAAAGGCCACTGGCCATATACATAATAATTCTTAACACAGAAAATTAAAACTAAGTATTTACAATATTCTGTATTGACACATTTCCAGAAGGAAAAAATAAGGTTCAAAAGCAAAAATAACCAACCTTGGAAATGTTGCCATTAATCATTTTGAACTGTCACTTGCAAGGTTTTCAACACATTACAGCTGAAATAATATTACATTTTACTATGATAAAATGGAATAATCTTTGCAAAGTATTCATGGAGTATCCAGAAAGCACAGTTGACATGCCAGCTATGATATACGTATTTAGATTAACTTTCATGAGACTCATGGCCACCAGGCAGAAAATTACCAAGCAGTAGACACTTATCGCGATCACTCTAAATTGATTTGGGAAACTTCTATTAATAGTGTCAAGAGAGAACTTTATTTGATGGCTCAACCTTAGGATCTGATTTATTTTAAAGCCAGACAGACAAGAATCTGCTGATACCCTCTAAAAATGACGAGCAGGAAGTTTTTTTAAGTTTTTTTTAAGAAAATATTCCAAATCTACATACCTTTGTTTTGCATAAGTCCATTTTGCATTATTCACAGTTGTCACATACACAGGTTATTCTAAGCAGACATCTTTTCTGACTCCTTGCATCTGCTTCTAGTTTTGCAGAACTCCACGAACAGTCAAGCTTTCACTGGCCACGGTAACTCTGTAGTGTTCCTTACACGCTGCACATCTTCTGATCAGAGTAACTCCTTCTCAGTCTTAATAGATGGCAACATTTCAAACACTAACATTGCAGCCTCTAATTTAAGATGTAACCATAGTAACCCTACAGAACATACTACTCCCTAGATCAAGAACAAGCAGTCCGCTGACCCTTCATGGTGAGATTTAGCCAAGATAAAGCTCATTCTAACCTCCAGCCCAGCAAGATTATTCAAACCTTCGTGTCGTATTTCCAGTACAAAGCAAGCTCTGCCCTCCTGAAATACCCAGAAACATAAAGTATCATTTAAAAGTAGTAAAGAAGAAAGTGCTATAAAAGAAAAGGCATTTCTTCCTGAAACTTTGACTCTTTAAAGCTACATCAGTCACACCCAGATAGAAAGTAGTAGAAAAATCAAAGCTTTTCCTTACTTTTTTTGTAAGATGAGCAAAGACCTGCTCATCCTTTAAAAGCAAAGAATGAGTGAACAAAAGAAATTGGTTATTAAGATTTAAGAATTCAATATTCAATTTGTTCACATGGCAAGATAAGGAATTTTACCCATATCAACAGACAACAGCTCTGCCCGAACTTTACAAGCTATGTCCAAGTGATACGGTCACACAATTTAAAAACCAAAGTTGACATCCATTCCCTTTTGAATTTCCTTTAAAACAGATTCAATCTAGAGAACACTGCCCTTGGGATTTTTGTACCTTTAATATTTACTAATGAGCATTTACAGAAAAATAAAAACAGCTCTGCCTACCCCTATATGTAAACATACTACATAGAACTCACAAACCTTCAGAGATACACTTCAGGTATAGTGAAGCAGTAGTAAATAAGTAAGTGGAAACACTATGGAGTTTAATAACCGTTCTGTTGAGATTTAGACTTGTTTCTCTGAATACAACGTTATGTGTCTTATCTGAAAATGCAAAAATCAGACGGAGATTTACATGCTTGTATTTGAAAAAACATTACTTGCTTCCATGTAAATCAACACAGGTAAATTAACTACAAGAATATCTCCCTTGATTTCCTACTCGTAGCTCAGAATGCAGCAAATTGACAATACTCCTAGCCAGACTCTGTCACATATTTGTGTATTTGTATACATACAGCAATAGATTATATAAAGTTCTGTATATTACATAGAGTAAGGATAAGAAAACTTTGCATGTTTTAAGCGGAAAATTCAGTAGACTGAGCACACATGCAACCTCCCAAAGCACTGATTCTCAATTATTCCTAAATGTCCCAGAACAGTAAGTGGTGCTGGACATTGGACTGTCCTCTCTCGCTCCACTGGCCCACTGACATCCCCCCCTTATTTAAATACAACATTTTTACAGTGGAGGAGATACAAGTCTTCACTGATACGCACATTATATTTATATTCAGGGAATATGTTCATGCTCCTAAAACGTCCTCAAATAGGATCATAGGATTTTTGAAAATTGTCATTAGGATAGGAAAAGCATACATTAAAAACAAGACTAAATTAACAGAGAAAGTTAGTGTACATAGGTGATTTAGTTAGGAGGATATAAATCTGATTATGTTTCTAGCAAATTATCAGAATATGCATCTAGAATAGTAAAACACACTGACTGCCTGGGGAAACCTTATTTGCCGGTAAAGGCCATACCTACCCCCAATCCTATTATCAGAGATACCGTATGATAGAGTAATTGTATTTTCTTTATCCTTTGGTTAAAACCCAAAACCACACCACTAAACCACAAAACAAACAAACAACCCCCCCCCCCCCCCCCAACAGTCTGAAGAGCTAGTCATTAGCTTTTCGAAATAGAGTGGACAAACACTGTGACTAATAAACACTTGGGTAAGTATGCTGGTAGCTTTCTATTTTCTGAGCTATCTATTGCAATATTTTATTTATAACACACAGTAAATATAATAAGATGCTTCAGCATAGAGGGGTCAGTCATTGAAAGGACAGAAATGAAAGGAACACAAGTTTCATTAGGACCGCAAAGACCAATTGTATAACACAGGTATGTCTGTAAGAGCAAAAGACATTTTAGATCCATCAATAATTGAAATCAAGTGCCCTCGATTCTGCAATACCAGACTTCGACCTTTAGCAAGGAAGAAAGCCATTAACAGCAGAAAGGCAGCTTAACAGCATGTGCTTATACATTAGTGTTGTCCAGCTTAATTGACTAACCTAAGATTACGAAGAGCAGCGTTTATAGAGTACGCAAGTGTAAAGGAAAGTATGAGACAAGAAATAAATTATTTTTTTTCTTCAGCATGAAGGCACAAAAGATTTATACTCAAAGAGAGCCAAATGAGTTAAATCAAGCTTCGGTATTTAAATGCTTATAATTCCTTTGCACTGCAGAACAGCTTTTGGAATACAGGAATACAGCGTCTAGCATTAAAAATCCCCTAGAGAATCGTAAGTTACAGTGTCAAGGAAAAGTGAAAACAACTTGAAAAAACCCTTAATCATTCATTTAATAATCATACAGTTTTTGTACTATTCACCTATCATTTTGCTTGAACTGAGTATGTATCATTTATCAAATAGAAGCAAGAGCCTGTAAAGCTTTCTGGCTGCCTTTGGATTTAGTCAAAATGAATGCAAACAATCACGTGGGATTCAGCCAAGCAATGACGTTAAATTCTGCTCTGTCAGAAGACAGCATCTGTCAAAGCCCACATTTAAACTGCTGCCTGCCTGTGCAGCAGCTGAAGAACTACGGAATGGATTTTATAGACCAGAATCCTCGGTTAAAACAGCTCAAAACCATTTCTATTACTGCCTAGCAACAATGAAGGAAGGAGTAGAGGGAAATCCTATTACTGAAGGCAACTGAACCACTACGTGCGAGCACTCCCTGCTAACATTACCATTAGAAATATGGATACTGAGGAGAAGAGAACACAGCACTGCATTGTCCGACAAGGGAAACACCAGATGTAAAAGCTCCAATACATCGGCCGTGAACACCAGACAGCTCCGATCAGAACAGAAACGAGAACCACTGTCCTTTTGTTCGAAGGATGAACAAAAAGCCCCAAGACAAGGACGCCACTTATGAGCGAGGAAGGTAACACAGCAAGGAGCAGACAGATGGACAGATTGGATACTGTGAAAAGCAATCGCAGGAAGCAGGCTGTTGGGGGATGTGCGCATGTTCGATAGCATCTTTTTTGCTGAAGTGATGGCGTGCCAAAACTATTTTCTGTGGGTATAATCCTCGCACCATAAATGGCCTGACCAAGGAAGGTATGTCAAATCCTTGCGTGTGATATTCATTCGATTGTCTGTTACCTTTTCAGCCATTGCAGATAACGATCGTTCCTAATTTGCAGAGCCCTGAGATAACATGTCTGTGAGCAGGGAGAAAGAATTCTAGCAGGTTTTCCTCTCCCACTGCACAATGTCACTACCTTACACTTACTAAATGCATTGCTTACCGTCTGCACAAGGTTGGCGTGGCTAGAGAGGAGGGATTAAAGGGATAACATAGCTACTGTAATGATTGCTTTTAACTGAGAAATTAAAAACTCAAACCCCTCCAATATAGAAAGAACAGTTAGAAATCCTCTCAAACTAGGTCAGAATTAATCCTCATCTAAAGTAATCTTTTAAAAAAACTGGTAAAATGGCCACGATGTGACACGCTGAGAGCACCGAACCATCAAAACAGATCACGCAGTCAAATTGCATTATCTTAAAAGTACCTTCAGCCCTTTTTATGCTTGCTTCCCCCCCTCCCCCAAAACACAAGAAAAATGTCATCAGGCTAATATCAGCCAAGCATAAATGGGGAGCGTGCAAAAGACTGGACATGATTTAAACCATCAGCAGTGCAATCAGGCACCACATTTTACAAGTAACATCAGGTTCCCCTGACATCCCAAAAGGAAACCTTCAAACACTATACTCTCAAAATGGTGAGCACGTAACTTATCTCATGCCATCAGCACAATTTCTGTTTAATATGAAAACACTGACTGTTTAACTTGGATTGTAAAATGACGTTCCATCTAATTGCCATTCATTTCTAGTTATTGTTGAAATTTAAATACTTCATCACTAGTGGCAAACAAACAAGATTAATATTTGCAATACAAATTTAAGACCTAAATCTATAGCAATTTAATACGCCACAGAAAGAGAGTGCTTATCTGCAGAATCTACCAACAAGCTATAACAAATCATTAAACGTCAATACAAATGTGCTTTCTTTGCCCAAGGCAATGCTAACATGCAATAAAACAACTGCAACTGGAAAGAGTTCACATACCTAAGGATGCAGCACACTACAGCCACTGGTTTCAGACCACTTTTAAGACATTTAGAAGAGACGGTCACTTTAGAGAACTTTTAAAACAACAACAAAAAAAGGTACCCTCAGGCAATACTCCTGCAGAAGCATGCCTAGCTAGCGGTGCGACTCCCGTATCTGACATTTAAAAACCTGCACAACAAACCTCATCCCGAGTACTGTTTTGTGCAAAAGATTAATGCAGTTTATAAGTGAACTCAGACACATTATGCGAGGCCTAATACGCAACCACTGCTGCTGTTTATCAGAATACCAACTGAGGCTGCCTTTGGAGCTCTTCCCTTTTAATAAAAGAGTTTGCCCACACAGCTAATCAAAATATGAATATCCAGGACGTGTGAATAGGAAGTCGAATGCTTCAATCTGCAAAGCCATATAACTGTAGAGCAGAACAAAAGTACAAGCAGCCAAAACACCAGCAGAGCACAGACCACAAATAAAAATTCAAGGGGCATTCAGTTTATATATTTGGCATTTGATAATGCATCAGTGATTGCACAGTCAAGTGCCAAAAATGAAGTAGAACTATTATAAGTCATATCTCCAGACTGAAGAGTTACATGCAACAACACACCTTCAGAGGACAAGGTGATTGTATAGAGACCTTTTGCTATACTTAGGTCTTCTTATCTAATGACAATGATTGGTGCCTCTTCATAAGCTTTCTGTGAAATCAAATTTTAAATGTTTAGGCAGAAGCAGTAATGCTCTAGCCCTAATTAAAGTCAGAGAAAGTAGTATTTTTACGATACTATTTGATGGTGTTTTTAAAATACAGAGACAGTTGATTACATTACCGTGAAACAATGCATTCTAGCACATAGTATTTTTTCAAAGGTGCAATTACTATTGCTGTATTTCAAATGCTTAATACCCACTGTGCATTTTGAAATGTTTTACACCTGAATTACAAAGAAAACGAGATACAAAATTATTTGGTTTTTTTCAGTCAATAGTTTCATGCAGCTGACAGATAGATGTGGGTCCTTCCTCTATCCATACAATGTCTTTTTAAAGAGCAAACAGAGATTGAAGATTTTCTAGGAAACTCCCACCTTGAAAAAATCAAGGAAATATGTAAGTGAGAAACTACTCTCTAACTTTCTTATGATTCTAGTCTTGTCCCTCACTGTAAAACTTACTTTAATTGCACAATGTAAGCATGCAGTCAGGGGTGGGGGGGTGTTCAGCCATTGCAACTGCCTTTTCTGGGACACTTTCTCAGTGCATCACGGAAAGACAGCACCTGAAAACAGTTTTCAGTTTATACAAATATTTCCATAACTTAAGATTCTCCCTTTCACCTATTGCTCTATGAAAGCAGGCACTTAACACAACACTACCTCAATTAAAAATTAAACACAGATTAGTAGTGCAGTGCAGATTTGCTGAAGTATGTGTATCCAATGACTGCAGTTTTAGAAGTGGAATAATTCAATGTGACAAATTATAGCTGCTACTCTACATTTGTGAAATTCTGGTTTTGACTTTCTTCCTAAGCTGCATACGCATGCAATGGAATGAGAATTAATGATATACTGCCACTGCTGCCCTCCCAACTGGTAGCAAACAATTAATTTCCCTGAGATCCAGGGTACCCTTTGAAGTGACATTTATGTTTGCTTACGCAGAGATATTCTTCCCGAGTAGCTGAGCGTTCACTTAAAATTCACTGTGGAGAAACTAAAAATTACCAGGTTTGAGGGCAGCCGCCTTCTCTAAGGGTGCCAAAGCAGGTGCGAGCGGTCAGATAAGCGCTAAGTCTTCTACATTTGGGTCTCATTTTATTCTACACAAGGATAAGGTCTGAGTTAAAGCAGAATTGAGTACCGTGGAATTTCAGGTTAATGCTCCAGCTGCATACTTTAGACACACACGTTTAACAGCTGTTAGAAACAGAAAATATGTAATATACCACCCGGCAAACATTGTGCTGTCCGGGAAGGGGAGCCGAGCAGCGGCACCACCGCCGCCACCGTCCCCACCCGCGTGCGCCTCCCAGCGGCGGGCAGCGGTAGGGACAGCCCCGCTCCCCGGCACTGCCGAGAGGCACCACCTGCGTACGCGTCCTTGTCTCCGTATAGAAACTGACGGACAGTAATGAAATGAAACCTTAGTTACACGTCTCCCCCTACCCTTTTGAAATACAAATTTTCCCTCGCATGAACCAGGCAGATTGACTGTTAAGTCACGCACATACAATTTAACAACACATTACTCAACTGCCATCTCGTCTTAAATTACTTCTTGCAATGTAAAATCCTGTAATTTCCCATATAACATGTCACTTTAGTTTTTAAATGCAGAAATTAATCCAAATATTGGTTTTAGAAGATAGCACAGCAATTAATAAATTACACATTTATATTAGAAATAGCATTTTCTATGGACTCTTGTTCCAACTGTCATCCTTTTTCCTATACAAAACCCTAGGGCCCAGAAATAAATTAGAGCAAATTGAAAATCACAAACGAATTGCTACTGTGCAGTGAAAGGTTCATTTACGAGATGATGTGATCAGCTTTTAATATGCAGCATCATGAAGCTGCCATATTGACTCTGCTCTTGAATATGAAAAAAATTTAAGAGAAAATGAAGCACGGACTACTTTGGCACTTTCTCCTACAGTTGCAGCTGCTGGTAACAATACTTGAAATTTCCACACGATAGCAGAAGTATAGTAGTTACATATACATTCATAGAGAAAAACCAAAAATCACGTTCATCAGATAGTTTGCCAGAAACTTAGCACTGTGCAGTTTTACTTCCACTTAATATGAACATTCACCCAAGATCTCTGCGTACTAAAAATCAACAGCTTCATTTTAATTTGGCTGCACATGAGCCTGGCACAACAGCCAAGTGTTCCATTCAGTATTTTCCTTCATGGCGGAGTAGAAGGTTAAAGGTGCCTGAAAAATGACCGAATATGTTATCCTGCGTTACCATCCGAGGGCTGCGCAGTGAGGTTACTGGACCCTGAAAATTAATTTTGACAGGTGCATCTTCTCATTGACTTTCTCAACACAGCCGGGGCCGGTGGAAACACGCCAAGCAGTGTACTGTGACTAACACAACTCTGCCATAATCAACCTTGCACCGTCTGTCCCACCACCAATACATGACCATTTTGCAAAAAGGGTTTTTAAACTGTGAGCCGTACTAGCCTCTGCATGTCAAATCAATTTTAATTAATGCCAATAAACCTTCCATCTGGTATCAAGGCCTTTTCATTCAGTCCTTCTCAAACACTGTACAAGGATTTCACAGTCAGTATACATGAAGCTATTTACGTCTACTTCACACTTTTTCTGCTAACATGATCAATCCCCTCCCCCCCCCTTTTGTACCCAGGATGTTTGTCAAAACTTTTACCATGAAAAAAAGCATTTTTAAAAGCTAACAAATCAAGTCAACTTTAATCATAGAACAAGGCTGGCTTTTAGCATAAATCCACCCTTGTTTATGGGCTGATTTTTCAAAAAAATTGAACTCAATTTTAGGTTTATATCTAGTTTCTCATTCTAACCTTTTATATTATGAGTGCATGAAATCAAAGATTCCTGATTTTCTTTTTTTAAATCTTTGCAGAGCGAGCCATTTGCAGACAATTACTCAAAATGAACAAAAGAAAATGAATACCAAAGAATAGCAGTGGATTCAAAAACGATCGGAAAAGCATTTTGCTTGGCCATTGTCTCATATCCCTGTGTTGGATTCTTACAACATGCTTCAGTGGAGAAGACGACACTGCTGCTTTGCAAAGATGACCTGGAATACCAAAAGGTCTCTGTTTCGCACCCATCTCATTGGCCTGATCTCTCTCGTATTTCTTTTTGCTATGTTTCTGTTCTTTAATCATCACGACTGGCTGCCAGGCAGGGCTGGATTCAAAGAAAATCCCATGGCTTACACTATACGAGGATTTAGATCTACAAAAAGCGAGACAAACCACAGCTCTCTAAGGAACGTGTGGAAAGATGCTGTACCTCAGACGCTCAGGCCTCAAACAGTCACCAACTCCAACAACACGGACCTGTCACCGCAAGGAGTAACTGGTTTGGAAAACACCCTCAGTGCCAATGGAAGTATATACAACGAGAAAGGTACTGGGCATCCAACTTCCTATCATTTCAAATACATCATCAACGAGCCTGAGAAGTGCCAGGAGAAGACCCCTTTTCTAATATTGCTCATAGCTGCAGAGCCAGGCCAGGTGGAAGCTAGACAAGCTATTCGACAAACTTGGGGTAATGAAAGCCTGACACCTGGCATCCAAATTGTTCGTATTTTTTTGCTGGGGTTAAGTCTCAAGATAAACGGATACCTCCAGCGTACCATACTAGAGGAAAGCAGACAGTACCATGACATCATTCAACAAGAATACTTAGACACCTACTATAATTTAACCATTAAAACTCTGATGGGAATGAACTGGGTTGCATCTTACTGTCCACACGTTCCATACGTTATGAAAACTGACAGTGATATGTTTGTCAATACTGAATATTTAATACACAAGCTTCTGAAACCAGAACTTCCTCCAAGGCACAAGTATTTTACAGGTTATTTAATGAGAGGTTATGCACCTAATAGGAACAAGGATAGTAAGTGGTATATGCCACCTGATTTGTATCCAAGTGAACGTTATCCTGTATTCTGCTCTGGAACTGGTTATGTTTTTTCTGGAGATTTAGCAGAAAAAATCTTTAAAGTCTCCTTAAGCATCAGACGTTTACATTTAGAGGATGTATATGTGGGGATCTGTCTTGCCAAGCTGCGAATTGACCCTATGCCTCCACCCAATGAGTTTGTCTTCAATCACTGGCGAGTTTCTTACTCCAGCTGTAAATATAGCCACCTAATTACCTCCCATCAGTTCCAACCTAGTGAACTGATCAAATACTGGAACCACTTACAACAAAATAAGCACAATGCCTGCGCCAATGCAGCGAAAGAAAAGGCAGGCAGGTATCGCCATCGTAAACTGCACTAGAAGGACAACGCTCCCTGTCAAACGTACTCCATGTGCAATTTGTAAATACCACTGAACGCATGTACAGTGAAAATGGATGAGCTTAATGGGACAGCTTTTAGTTGATCCCCATCACATAGTGGAGTCTGAAAATTATTTTTTTAAGTTAAAAAAAAAATATAGCTCTTGATAACACTAATATTATGAAACTATAACCAAAAGGTTTTCCCAGAAAATTTGAGGAAAAAAAGATGATGGTATATAAGGATTTTTGTGTCAATGTGCAATAATAAGCATGCACACTTTGGTGGTACAATTGCTGATTTATGTGCCAATAAAATATAATTGAGCATTTTTCCACACTAAAATTTTATTTTTAAAAATGCATTCATAGCTCTAGTTCTCTTCAATGTAATGATTTCTTGTTATCTAGAATTGCTATAAAATGAAAAATTAAAAACTAAGGAAATGCACAAAGGGCAGATCAGTCTTACCTTCAAATACCACATTAAAATTATTACACGCTTCTTTAACGTATAATACATTTAGCAATATCACATTTATAATTTAGTGAGACACTACCAATGACCTCTAAAACACTACAAAAGTACTCCCTTAAAGCAGATCCAGTTTTGGGAAGGTTGCTTATTTTGGTTAAGAAGGAAGGATAAAATGAAATCAAAGTTCAGAAGACTGCCACTTTGTATATCACCTTCAGAAATGCAAGTGGTGTTCTAGATTCTACCATAGATTCAACTAGTTTCTCCTCAAAGATCTGACTAAAAGTTACTTAATTCTCTAGAAGTCATAGGGTGAGCTCCTAAAACCTGGTGCCAAGGAACAGTCACCTTGGCGTCTTCATGCAAATCCACTGAATCTGCTATTAATTTCCTTACATAACGTCAAGGTAACTCAAAGGCTGACAAGAAATGCAAAACAGAACTTCAAGTCTTTCACGACAGTCTTGAAAATGTTCCATTTTGTGGAAAGAGGGAGAAAACCAACCAAATCTTTGTGGATTTTGCTCTTTCCTGCCTGCCAGAAAAAAAGGATCAGTCAAGTGAAAATAGGTCTGCTAGAGAAAATTAAGTGACACACCTTACATTACAGGTGGGGAAGACAAGGTCATAGTAAGACTGAGAGTTCCAGATAGCAACATGGGCAAGAACAAAATCTAAGCAATTTTAAAAATTAAAGCCACAACATGTACCATAGAAAATAAATTGTGAGAAGTAGGTTAGGTCTATTTACAGGTTTCCAGTTTTCTAACAAACAGAACTTTTAAACCTTGTTTTCCAACAGAGTTACAGCAGAGTTGTATCAGATTCAGGTTATTACTGTTTATCACAGTGCCAGGGTAAGCAATACCCACCTCTGATTTAGCAGCAAATGATGGAACTGTGCTTAGTTTTCTGTTTGACTGGGACTTTTTAATTGGACAAAATACAAATATTTGATGTACTTTTATTATTTAATAAAATTGATTATATTTATGGTCTTCAGACTTCACTTCTTATGGGAAAGCTGCTCAGGAAGAAAGAAATTTCTAGCTTTAGCAATACTTGACTTTTCTAGTGTTCCCTAGTTCTTAAAGCCTAGTTTTCATACCATGCACAATAGAGAAATCACAGCAGGTTTTTTTCCTTTGTAATGAAAAGACAAACCATATTACTGAGCAGTCTTAGCAGCCCTAAGGCTGTCTGTATGCAGGAACTTACACACATGACCAGAGCGTATTGCATTGGACTAGTTCTCTGAAGAAATTCTAGGAGCTCCTATTGAAGATGGGTATGGGACATGCTCGTCACAGCTTTTTTGGTGATGCTCCACTAAATTTTGTCATCTGCTGTATTTGAGGTATGATAATTATACATTTGTGCTTTTCCAAGATACCTTAAATCGTAGAAATGTCCATTTCTAGGGAAAGTAAGTGTGTGTAAAAATAGTAACTCTCTGCAGAAGAGATTTGTCCAACTAGATTGAAAGCGTAACCACTTAGTTTACATGATTAGTATTGGCGTTCACGTGACACAGAGATGCAAGCTGCATTAGAAAAAGTCTTTGGGAGTGTTCTTTCAACACCCATTTGCAGTTCTCTTCACACTCAGTTTGCCTGCTTCCTTCCAGCTAACCCAGGCCACAGTTAATATCCCAACTGAAAGCCGCCTGGCTTAAGTTAACTATATGCAAACTGTACACAATAGTGCAAGTTTTAGAGAACCAGAGGGAGAGTTGAAAGCCAGCTACTACTCAAGGGTATTTGGTTCTGGAAGATGTACAGTCCCTTAAGTGGCTTCTCCCCCAGTAATGCTGGCCAAGAACACAGTCCACCCTCTTGGAGAGGACTTCAACACTGTTCCCTGCCTTCAGCACTTTCAAGCTATACTGTAATGTACTCTACTTGGATTTTACCAACTCTGGCTAGTTCAAAATGCTGTTACTGGCTTCTGGGTATAGTCCAAGAGGTTAATAACTAAACCTTAAATAATCTGGCACTTGAATCATAAAGTCTGGCAGCCAAACAACCTCTCGGGTACTCCACTTCGGAGCTCATGCATGATGCCAATCTGCACAAGCTTGGCAGAATTATGGTACAACGCCTACGAGTTCAGTATATCAAACTTCTTGCTAGTTAAAATATTAGTGAGGAGTACAAGAAGTTAAAAAGCCATTTTTAATGCCCTTTTAAGTGTCCAACATAATTTTTTAAAATTTGTATTAATGTTTGGGTATTAGTTGAAACTACTCTATAAATATGTTTGAATCATTATCAAGACTGCCAAAGTCTTAAGCCATTTGTATCCAAGTACTGTTTTCTTGCACAGTTCATTACAAAGCTTTCAGGAGCAGGAGGGACAGCTTGTATGAAATATGTAATTACAGAATGAAAGATCTACATTTCATTCTCTGAATGTTTTTACTGTTTTCTAGCTTGTGTTTAAGCTATTTGCTCACTCTACTAGAATATAAAAACAGTTCATATTAAAAATAGTGCAATAATTATTTATACCATTAAAAGCTTTGACAAGTTCTCTCACTTCCTTTCCCCATAAAGCAAGAAAAAAAAAAATGCATTTTCATTAGCAATAGGATACAAGCTTGTATCTAGAAGTCTAACATGTCTGCAATGCAGTAAAAAAAAAAAAAGATATAACTAGTTTACTCACTGAGGTACAGAAGTAAATGTTACTACTTTTCTGTGTGTCTGCTTCAGGTTGAAAACAAATACGAAGTCATAATGACTCAAAACTTATTACAGGGAAAAAAAGCAACGTCATCAGTACCATCATTGTGGCAAAGAAAAATCTTAGAAAAGTGAAGCATGGTAACAAAAATCAGAAATTGGAATTCCATAATTTTTCCCTATTTATTTAACTTTCAACTAAAAGATTTACACATTGATACTAGATAACCAAAATGAAGTCTCACAAAAAATGTTTATTCACCAACAAAAGAACTGTTCCTTTCACATCTCCAGTTCTATCAGTGATGGGAGTTATTTGCAAATCACACATCAATAGATTTGGGCATGGAAAATGCACAGCTACAGGTTTTCGTGTAGTACAACTGATGCTATCCCCAGCCATTGACAGATTTTTCACAGGTAAAGTTCACAATCTGTTCTAGTCTGAAAAAAGTTACAGGTAAAGGTACTTCCAAGCCTCAGTGGCTGGTCTGAGGCAAAATTCAGTGTCCATTAAGATCTTCACTTAAATGTTATAAATTACTTTTATGTCCTATAAATTTAAAATTATATGATGGCAGTGATCTAGAAGAGATGAGACAGACTGGTTTTCAGGTTAACCTTACTAAAATAATAATTTTAAATTTGCTTTTCCTTGCAGTGCAGTAATATAAACTGTGTCAGTCTATATTTACAAAATATTTTCAGATTATATTAAGACATGCATTAACTGTCTCAAAATCCATACTAAATCAGGAACTGGAGGGGAGGGAAGTACGTAGAAGTCATTACTTTAGGCCACACCCCCCCCCCAAAAAAAACCCCAATTTTCTTGATATGTTAACACAATCTCCAATCACACTTCAATCTAAAATACCTACATAATCCCACAGTGCAAGAAAATTTTATCTCTTGAATGAATACTCATTGCAATGTACAAAAACTTCCTAGGAGGAGATGAAAGGGAAAAGGAAGATAGATACAGAAGCTACTACTTCTTACTTTTGTGCTATTAGCAAGAACAGGCTTGTCACTGATTTGCAAGAGCATCAGTAGTTGTTTACATATTTTTCCAATTTTAAAACCCATTTATGAATCCCTATTTTATGCTGTCAAATAACACAAATAAGTAAATATTGGACAATAATGACACTACAATAACTGCACCTATCAAATTTTAAGAGCATTATCGTCCTTCTTGTTTCAAATTGTTCTTCCAAAACAGCACACGATTCAGGTGGCACGCAGTCTCACCCCTGTTGACCGCAATAATTTCAGATCGCAGATCACACCTAAAAGACATTTGCTGTATGACTATAGATTACACCTCCAGTCCCACCTCCCTTCTCCAGCTCTGCTTTGCAAGACCCAGCCACTCTGGGACAGGAGCCGGGGAGGAAGGAGGGAGGCAGGGAAGCTGCACTGCCAGCTACGCAATGCTCCACTGAAAATGTAGGTCAGAAAGGAGAGAACATTGTCTTTGCTTTGTACCCACAGCAAGAGCGAAGTCAAAGGCTTTCCGGGGCGGGAGGCTGGGGGAGGGCTGTGAAGAACAACTTCTTACAGCAGGTCAGTTAAAAAAGCTCTTGAATGTCAGAAAACAGAAGAGTGAAACTAAAAACGCAGCAGCTGATCAACACCACACAGGTTAAAAAATACAGGGCAGGCTCAGTGGTAAGGGAAAGCATTAAAGTGAGATCAAACTAGAAAGCAGGATCTGAATTTCTAGTGATAAATGTTTGCACCTCTCCCCTTCCAGAGAAAATAAAAATCTGCCAGGTAAATCCATTCTTCTAACAAAATTTTTAGTTTGTGACTGCAATGCATGCTTTCTATTATGGCCTGAAGCAAAGTAATCACAAGACCCAACACAATGGCATGAATTGTTCAGCCTGGAGAAGAGGAGGCTTCGAGGTGACCTCATTGCGGCCTTCCAATACCTGAAGGGGGCCTATATGAGAGATGGGGACAG